AATAGTTGGAAGAGCAAGAAACCGCAAAGCGCGTGAGTTCCTCGAGGCCTGGCATTCTGGCCGGAACTCAATCAACAAACACCTGGAGCTGGATGGTGTCTATGAAGCTTTGCAGGTTAAGCCAGCATTAGGCACCAGATCGACAAGGAGAAGAGGTGCCCACTCGACCAACTCACGTGAACAGATCGAAGGCTGACATTCGAAGCAGGCAACAATCAATAGTCACTCGGATCTGACATTGGTTTGCGAGCCCGCGAATCAGGACTGAATAGCCGCACTGAAGATGTTGCCTAGTTTGGCAGCGAAACGTCTGCAACCGAAATGCCCAGCTCGGAGAACAGGACAATCCTCTCAGACCTCCGTACAATCGGCTGATGTGTGTGTGTTATCGTAGCAAAAAGTGGTTCCATTTTGAATTCTCCAACTACATGCGCATCTTTTGCATCAGCATTATAAACATTTCTCGCTGCATCCATGCTCTCAATCTCGCTTTCTGTTGCTCGGATAGCAACATTTGCAGTACAAATTTTTTCTTCAGTCTCAGCCTGATTGTCACCTTCATTTTTGCCACTTCAGTCATGGAGGTAATTTTGACGAATTTACACTTGTAATTGAACAATCATATATACTAAAAATGCCGCCCCCTGGTATATGCCGCCCAGGGCGGACCGCCCCCGCCCCCTTATACTACGCCACTGCGATGCCGACCCCATTACAGATGATCGAGGGCTCTCTTCCCGAAAACCGGCGCCTGTAGAAAGTCAAGTGGAGGGATTTTTCCACACTGTTGGCGCCGATCCGACGTGCTGTAGGCGATGAAGCAAGACGTGTGCTGGATACAATCAAATTGGGCGACGAACACCATGAGCTCAGTTTGAACGATGTGCTCCAAACTTTTGGGGAATTCTGTGAAGGAAGGGCTAATGAAACTCATCAACGCTACCTGTTTTTAGTTGAAATCGATTTCCAGGCGAATCAGTCAACAACTACGTAACAGGACTGAAATTTCCAGCAAGCACCTGCAATTTTTGCGAGTGTCTACGCTATTCGCCGGTGAGAGATCGAATTGTACTGGGTATTCAGAATGAGAACATTACGCGGAAATTATTTCAACAGAGAAACCTAACGCTGCATTAATGCATCGACATTTGCAGTAGCGAAACGGTAACAGTTCACTGTCACCAGCTAAAGCCCCACACACTCGCCGAACCATGTGCTATTTCTCAGCCCAAGTATGCGATGTCGCAGACTGCTCTGACACGTGGACCAGTCTGCCAGTACTGTGATTGCAGTCATAACCCCCGAAGGGAAATTTGTCCTGCCTGGGGAAAGACCTACATAAAATGCTCGAATAAGAATCACTTCGCGAGATGTTGCCGATCAAAGAAGGTGGATTCAGTTGATTGCGACGATGCGCAAGCTGCCCAGAAACTTGCCATCAGTAACATGGAGCGTTAATGTTAAGATTGAGAGACGCCTCTGATAAGAATTTGAGCCTGATACGATTGTCACTGGCACGGTTTGAGCACGCCTACGATAACGGCTTTGGAACGCTGGCCGATCGAACGGATTTGCACTGACGTGATGGCGTTAGCTTAACCCACAGTGTATGCGCTGGTGAGGCGGAAATCGTGCTAGCCTGAGAACGTTCCTAGCCACACGTATTCGGGTAGACGCTGGGCCCTCGTAACGGACTAGGCTACGCACACGAGAGGGGGAGACGATAGACGCGCGCTAGTGGCTTGGACAAGAACGCTGCCCGGCTATCGACGCACATAAAAACCACGTGACCGAACCGACTCCCAACAACGAAGAGAAAACAAGACAAATGGTCCTCTGAAGGCTCTTTTACGACCAACGAAGGGCGAATCACAACCAATACCATAGGTCATTAAATTAGTGAAAATAGCTACCACGACGGGGTGGTAGTTTGTAAAAGAACATTGTCAACAGGTGCGCAGTTGTGCAGCGTCTCGGATTGGCTGAAGTCTGCTACGTTGGGGGGAGGAATTGAACTCCGCTTTCCACAGTCATTACGCCGGAGTTTGTGGCGCGTATTTTTGCGGGGATATTTGACGGGCCCGCAACACCTCGCTTTGAAGAGAAAACGTACTGCTTCTGATGAGGATTGACCTGGAGGGATTTCGGCGACCTCCGGCTTCTTCCTTGTTCATCGGCAAGGTGAGTTCTCCATACGCGGTGGCAACTGAGCGACTTCGACATTATTCTGTCGTTGTGTAGCCAATCCACAGGTAACTAACAGGATGTGCAGCAGCAGGCGCACAGCAAGGCTGGCTGTTGTGGAGGGTTCCCCGTGGTGCGGTCAAAGTTGGTTGCGATGGTGAACCCACGTGTCATCACCCGCGGAGACACCATGCAGCATGTCACCGTCTGGCCGTCACTGTTGCTTTTATCCAGCGCGGATGACCTGCTCGATAATCGCGAGCATATATCGTGGCTCCAACGACGAATTCTTTGTGCTTGGTGCAGTCACTAGAGTGACTAGGTAGCTTATCAATCGGAATGAGCGCTTCATTGGTGGCGCCTAATTTGCGGCCCATCAATGCTTCAGCTGGTGACTGGCATCCTGGCGTAGCTAGCTTCGGTGTGGATCGGTAAGAGATCAGGAAGGCTTGAAAACACTCATCCACGGTCCCCTCCCCGCGAGATTTCAAGAGCGCCCTCTTGAAGGTGTCGACAAATCTCTCTACTTGACCATTGGATTGGGGATGGTAAGGTGGTGAGCGGAGGTGTTGGATGCAGTGTCGGCGACAAAAGTCTTCGAAGATGGAAGACGTAAAATGGGAATCGTTGTCGGACACCAAAACCTCTTGTAGGCCATGCTGACGGCAGTTACGTTGAAGACAACCCAGCGTGGCGAATGCGGTTGGTGGGTTGACGGCGACCACTTCTGGCCATTTGGAATAGGCGTCGACCACGACCAGATAGGAAATGCCATCAATGGGACCAGCGTAGTCAGTGTGCACTCGGGACCACGATTTTGCTGGCGGGTGCCAAGGAACCGGTGATTAGTGTGGTGGCATCTTTGAGGCTTGTTGACATTTTAGCAGCGTCCAACCAAATCTTGTATGTCGTTGTAAATGCCAGGCCAGTACACATAACTGCGGGCAATTGCGTTTTTTCTGTTCATACCGGGATGAGCAGAATGGAGCTGGCGGAGTACAGGTTGCCGGAAGCATGATGGAACGACAACTCGATCTGCAGTCATGAGACAGGAATCGACCACGGAAAGGGAGTCCCGGCGTTGATGTAGTTATTTGAGTTTACCAGACAAGGCAGTGTTTGGCCAGGACGTCTGAACGTAAGTGGCGGCTTTCTGCAAGACAGGGTCTTTCGCAGTTGCACGACGTATGTCGGTGGTAGTAATGGTGAGACTTCGGATAGCGTTTGAGACTTGGTGACGAACGTCGTCGTCGACGGTAACAGCGACAATCACTGTCTTCTTCTGCTACGTGTTTGCAAATGAGGCGGGAGTGACCGTTGGCTTGACCGAAATCCTGAGTACGACAGTAGCGGATTTCGAAGTTGTAACCAAAATGGATGATCGCCCAACGTTGAACTCGGCTAGCCGAGTATGCGGGAATGCCCTTCTTTGAACCGAAGATTGAAAGTAGGGGCTTGTGGTCGGTCATTAGCGTGAACCGCCGGCCATACAGCATCTTGTGAAACTTGGTGACGGCAAGGACGATGGCAAAGGATTCCTTCTCGATCTGACCATAGTTTTTCTCCCCAGGCGTCAGGGTGCGGGAGAGGTGCATAACTGCTTTCTCGGATCCATTTGGGAATCGATGGGAGAGAACTGCTCCGATCCCGTAGGCAGAAGCAGCTGTTTGTATTCGCCTGTGCATTCGGAACGGACAGGCAAGAGGCCGCTCGATCGATTGTTCGCCCCCACTCGAGGAACAATGCCTACGCGCGTGAGCGAGAATCGCTTTGTAAGCCCGCACGATTGACTGACCCGATAGATGCTAAGTTTCCGGCATAAGCAGCCAATCCAGGGTGTGAAAACCGGGATCCCTCAACGCAGCGTAGGTTACCCTATAAATAATACGTTTCATTCTGATCCAACTAGATTCTGATCGCAGCCCAGTCTTCGTTTTGATTCTCGCAGGGCGCTACACAACACACATAACGTCGGGTGTCGAGGAACGTCGAGGTATTTGTACCACCTGCCACAGCAACTACGGCGAAGGAACTCGGATTGTTTAATGGATGCTGCGGACAGTTACGTGGAGTCCTCATAATGGTATAACAACTACGATGCGTTCTGTCTTCGGAAAGCGTTTGGGTATAATACCCAGTTCCTTGACTCTTCTCGCATAAATGCGGTACTTCGGAATATATTACCGCAAGTTAGATTATTTTGGTGCATAATCCGAGTTGATGCACTGAATTCGTTATGGGCGAGCTAGCTATCCGATTGTTCGTTGCAAGAAGCGCTATTTTTGTTAATCTGTAACTTGGTTTATCAAGAGGCTATTTTATTTCCAAGACCTTACCTTTAAAATGTCGTTGCCTCATCGCTCAACTGATACGCGCCTTTTTTGATCGCATTTGTAACCTTTGCTTCTGTAATTCTCGTTCTGACCGTCCTACGGGACTCGTTAAGCATATGTTATATTACCTATCGTAAACCGTTGTTCAAGTGTTTCATTGATTGTAACTCAAATGCGTATGCCGGGTACCATCCGTGTGCCTCAATGTTTGACCTTCGCCAATGTGCGAGCCCTCGCCTCGATTGAAGTATCAAACTGTCACTTCTTTAGCTTCTTCTCGGTTGACAGATATGACAAACACATGCTATTTGAAATGAAACCTTCGACAATTTCCTAATAATGACAACGCAAATAACCGCATAGTTTCGGTGTTCTCCTTAGTGCCGCGCTTTGATGTTAGTCTGGTTTCTTGTTTATTCTAATCTTCCTTATTGTACCTCTTCAACTGCTTCCTCTCACCTTTCTCTCTCTATTCACCCCCAGTCATTGCTCGAAAACTTTCCCCCTCGGAACGCCCGCTGTTGCTTCTGCTCGACTGTGCCAGAGTGAGTTCGAATCGAGACGATTTCCTGCAGTTGTTGCACAAGAAGCGGATCGTGCTTCAGGAAAATGACACATGCGACATTGATGTGAGTTTGTTGCATTCTTGATGTATACCACATTGTCCCGTAAACCTGCGAACTGCGGAGCTCGAGATGGGCTTCGATCAAAGCATATTTGACACGAAACGGACACGCTGTGTATAGGACACAGTACGTTAACAAACTCCTCCCTCGGTGTGGTTCGCGAAGGTAGTATCTTTGTGGGATGTCTCAGTTTGGTGACACAACCTATCTCACGATTATACAGTCCCTGCTAAAAGTGGACTGGAACGATTCCCACTGACGTAACCAGATGTTTTCTATACAATCATGAGCTGTACCTTGGTTGCGCGTTATTGTTTCTTCATCAGCTCTGTCAAGTAGCTCTCCGAGGGTCAAAACAATGTCTGATTAGCGATAGGAATCCGTTACTCATGAAGCGCATAATCATTTATACTGAACAAAAATCCGAATTGCTATTCCCTTATGGTGAATTTTCACTATTTTTTCTTATTGTTGTACCGTTTTCTATCTGCTGCGCCGATTCCATACACTCCTGTCCTGTCTAGGAGTGCTCTGAGCTTGACTCAGCAGCAAATGATTCACTTTCCGTTCACTCGTCATGCGCTAGATGCGTACGCGCCCCCTGTTACCAGTCTGGGTTCGTTGATATGCACTTTATGTACTGCTCACTGGTGTTCTCGCCAATCAACTTCAACCTAGTCTGTAACCAACCAGCGCTTCGTTCGGATCAGGTCGAACCACTTCTGCCTTGTTCCTCCGGCTCGTACGACGACCGTGGTCAGCTGGCATGAACGGTGCTTGATTGGTTTCCTCTCCGCCTGCACGACGCCAGTCAAATTCATCCAAAACGGTTAGTTACAATAACAATCACCACTAGCGTAAGCGACAACACGCTTGGAATCCTTGATCGAACTTGTTTCCACTGGAATCGAAGCAACAAAGCAGACACTGAACGACGGTACCATGGGCAACACCAAATGTGCAATACCTCAACGATCTGTCCCTCCAGCACACTTCCGAATCAGCAACTTTCAATTGACTCAGAATAGCCGACAAATATGGCTTCAAATCACAGGTAGAACAAACCAGGGACGTCCCAACTAGACACTGAATTAGGGTTACGGACCAATCAGAAGAGATACTACACGAATTCGTGGGCGTTGCTGTCTGCATGTCACCCACAGTGATGGTCTGGTATTGTACGCGATGGTGCATAGAGAAAGGGAGATGGGTACAATAAAACTGCACTGTAGCTTCCATGGGTTTGACCACGCACATCAACATTGTGATAGTATGTCACTAACAATGCGTGGTAACGAGTCGCGCTCAGGCGCGTCAATCTAACGACATGGTCTACATATCCGTGTCCAAAGACACAAGAGGGCGGAAACTGAAACAGTCCAGAGCGTCGAGAAGACAACGATTACACAACGGGAATAAGCTCGTTCATGAGTTGCAACTACCTCGTGTGATTGATTGAATGTGCTGAGACAGTTTCCCAAAGTACATGTGGACGTAGCACTGAGTCGACATCGGATCAGGGCATCTGGATTGCGAGCCAGAACACACAAAGTTTGGGTTGGGACAAAGAGAATAGTTGGATAATAGGCAGTGGGAATCAGAGCGAGGAGATCATTGAGCGGGACGAACCTATCACAGGATACGGCATCCGGGATTGCTCTACAACTAGGATAAGCAATTTTGCTGGGTTATTTCATCCACGAGCCCAGTGATAAGCAGCTGAAAGCTTGTGATTCTTGGTGATTCACTTCCTTTTACAAATGATCCACTCAAGAGAAGTCTCCGTAGCTGACATCCTCGCCAACATTTTTTTACTGCTCTAGAGTACTCACACTGGATTTTCACTGATCTATGTCACCTCGTTTGTATGCATCACCATATTTTGCTTAATACAGAAAATAGTTGCTCCATATTATGCATTTGGGGAAACTTTGTACAACGAGCTCACGATTTGCGGTTACCTGGCACTAGTACCAGACCCTCTAGGAATTGTTGAAGTTTGTTATTCGCTGTTACTGCACGGCTCTGGCTGCCACCCACTCTCGTTGGTCAGCTCCCGGCCAATCAATTTCGAGCGCTACTACTCCGATGTGGTGGAAACACAACTATGAGATGACCGGAAACCAGCGGACAATCTCTTTCTTGAGTCCTACTGCATCCTGACCACGGGTTTCCATATCCGATGGTCTATCATCGTAACTACGAATCCGTTTCCTGCGTGGTAGCTGTGCAAGATGCATTCGGTCCTCGCTGAATTCCAGGTTGTATGTCGGAATTGTCCACTAGAACACCCAGTGGTAGCGATTATTCGTTTTTATCTGTTTGGATGCTGGTTAGTCGCATCTGATTTATGTTCCTGGTTTGATTCAATGCACTTAATCCAACTTCATGTAACACTTGCCCACTTCTATTTCGCTCTGAGTCCGTCGCCCATCACGGTCTTCCTGTGAGTACAACGCTGTCCATGCTAAGATCGGCAGCTTGCACTCCGTGTCGTTGATTATGATGCTTTTCCGTTTTCACGTTTCTCTCTTGAGATGTAAACTTTTTGAATGATCAATGTGTCATTCATGCAGTCCACGTATTTTAGCTATCGGATGCGTTATGTGTGCCTGTTTACCGGTCAGGTTGACACCAACACATGATTTTCCTCATTTTCATCGGCTAATTCATAGTTATCAGTAGTTCCACTCAACCGACTCTCAGGTGCTGTTTCATTTTCAGTGGAAAGAATTCAGTCCTGCTGAGTTGACCAATTTCTTACGAATTTTGGACAAGGAAGAGTCGGAGTACAAGAATGTTATCTTGTATCAATATGGCATGTTACGGGACAAAATCATACAGCGATTGAAGACGTTGGATTTGGAAGCCGCGTGTAGGGTGTTACCTTCACAAAAGTACACATGTGCCCCGACGCATCCGCATGCCTTCCACCCCCTGCCTCACCGACACGAACATTCCCCTATCTGCACCTGGGAGAACTGCTCTTCTTCCCTAAGTGATGACTCTAAAACACCTGCTGCCAGCATCTGATTCTCTGACGTCGGCCTCACATCTTCGGGCTTGCTCTACCTGAGCCTTGCTCATTTTCAATCCTCATCACAACGGTTGGAACCACGCGATCGTGTTCTTCTCGTTCATATTTTCTTCACACTATCCTGTACAAGTTGTTCGCGGTTCGTACTGAAGTCAACATTCTCATGCACCGCACGCAGACGTGATCGCTCAGTACATGACCGTCAAAAACACGACTGTTTTACATCCCGTTCCAAGTTGTGTGCATTTTCGTCTCGTTCGATTTTTCTCCTGACTTATACGTATTAATTATTTGCCTTACGAAATCTACTTTTAACTATCTCGACCAAGCTCACTATGTTTGTCATCTTCCTCTTTACCCATTTTATCCACCGACTAATTTTCTTCATTTGCGACACACGTTTTCAACGTTTCTTGCGCAATTTTTATCTTGTTTCCCTCTGGGCTCATTCAAGTGTAAAGCAAAACTTCCATACTTTGGATGCTGCTTATCAGACCAGGCGGTTCCTTCCATTCTTTCGGCTGTTCTAAAAGAAGTTGAGCATTGGATTGATCCGTTTCCAACCCGGATTCGCTAAATATCCCACTCGCTTTCTGGTATTGCGTCTTTTTATCGTTTACATTATATACTTGCCTCACGTGGCTCTCAGCTTGGTAGTTGATTAACCATCTTCCGGATCACGAAGCTATCTTAATTCACTCACCCATACGCAGCTCAACTCTTGTTTAGCTCAGGCAGTAGGGATCGTGACGAATATAGACGCCTTCCGCATGTTTTCAGTACGTCTTCTACAACAAGATGCAGCTTGCTCCGATTTGTGGGTTTAGTCCCCACCGTTTCGCACATCTGGCTTACACACCTGTGATATTGAATAACGTTCCAATGTACTTACCCAGTGATGTGCTCAAGTCGCCTGTCCTGCTATCTTTCACAGCGCTTCTTGATGCTTTGTTCAGTTAGTCTCACGTAGTATTTAACATTGTTCTCGTCTCCTTGTTTCCTTGTGACAGTGTAACGCTCCAAGGCGTTTGGAAAGTTAAGCTACGCGTTCCCCACCGGAAAATTCAACAAAAGACCAGATCCGGACCTGAGAAAACGGTGCTATTTGTACAAATTCATCGTACCAAAGTAGAAATTACCTTAACGGTTTTCCAAACACAAAAGTTTACCAACAGATTTCAATCAGTTCCACAAAAGGTCCGTAAGCCAAGGTGCACACGAAACAAATGGACATAGAGGTGAGACCGAAGTTATGATAAGGCAATTGAGCCAATCGTAAGCGTCCGCCAACGGGAACGGGCTGAGGACAGACAGACCTGCCACACTGGATACATGAGTTGTGGGAACACAAAATCGCTTATGTCAAGAGAACAATGACAGGTCCATGGGGGCGGGGTGAAGTTAAGATGAGTCACCGGAGTCACTCGCTAAGAGCATCGGGGCAGAGAACAAAGGAATGGAAAGTAAGGGAGTTAGCAAACATAATCGATCCAGACGGCCGAGCAATGTAGAACTGGGCATTCAACATGGGAGAGACTGGGGTGGTCAAAGTTCTTTCTACACTGCCCACCAAAATCCGATCCGGATTTTCCATTGAAGATGTCGGATGTTTCTGCTCTGGAACGCCCTACGCCGGCTCCATCCACGCTAGGGGGCCAAAGGACTTACACCGGTACGCCAGAGGCCCCCCACTTCGGCTATTGGACTCACAGCGGTCCTCCCTGGTGCGACAGGCCGAAACCCGTCTCCCGCCTGCGGAGAGCCAATAGCCGGAACTACATCCCCACTCGTGTCGCTCCCTTCTAGCAAACACAACTTTCGTATATCCCTTGTGATCAGCCCATTCTTGGTCCTAACAACTGCAGTCCTGACAAGCCCGTCTTCAGAACCTATACAGTGGTCAACAATCCCCATGGGCCACGTGCCACGTGTACCGGTTTCGGAAGAGACCAAAACTACATCCCCAGGTCTGAAGTTTCGAATCCTTCGCAGCCACTTTTGTCTGGAGTGTAACAAGGGCAAGTACTCTGCGACCCATCTTTTCCAAAACAACGCTGTCAGGTAATTGAATTGCCGCCAACAGCGTCTATATTCTTCGGTTAGAGAAGCCGCAAGGAAATGCGATGCATTAGGTCGCAGTATCAGTAAATCGTTGGGGGTAAGGGCCATACGGTCGTTTGGGTCCGATGTCAAAGGTACTAACGGCCTGCTGTTGATGATGCGCTCCGCTTCAACAAACAGAGTACTGAGCGCTTCCTCATTAAGCGTCTGTTGTGTCGCAATCGATAACAGCACCCTCCTAACAGACCTGATCATGCGCTCCCATATACCCCCCTATGGCTGGACATTGGAGGGTTGTAGTGCCATTGGACTCCCATGCTAAGGAGTCTATCATTGATTCTTGCTTGGGACCACCCCTTGACAGCAGTACGCAACTCTGATACGACGCCTACGAAGTTGCTGCCGTTGTCGCTGAATATTTCGACCGGAGTCCCTCTACGGGAGACAAATCGCATCAAGGCCATAATGAACGAGTCGGTAGTTAAGGTATGGGAAATCTCAAGATGTACGGCTCTCGCTTGTAGACAGGTAAATAGACACCCGTACCGCTTTTCCTGCTTTCGCCCGTGTTTAACAAGAAATGGGCCAAAGTAATCCACGCCGACCGATTTGAATGGGTGCCACCCACGTTCCACCCGAGCTAACGGCAATGGCGCCATCAGCTGCTCACCGGTGGTAGCAAGCCGTTTCTTGCATACCCAACAAGCCCCTATCAACCGTTTCACTGCCGACATCCCGCGAACGATCCAATATTTACGGCGCAAGCTCGCCAGGACCTGAGAAACTCCCGAGTGACCTTCCATCGAATGATAAAATCGGATCAAAAGTTCAGTAACAGCGTGTTTAGGTGGCAGGATAACCGGGAACTTGAATGCAGCGTCGTACTCCGAATACGCCAGCCGGCCACCAACACAAAGGAGGCCACCGCGCAGTACGGGGTTGAGACGGGCCAAAGGACCTCGCCGTATCTCCATCTTAGACGCTGTTGGGTCTGCATTCGCCTTTTCAAGCCGTTCCAACTCTGTTCCATAAGCTTCGAGTTGCGCAAGCCGGATGACATCACACTCTGCTCGGTTGAGTTCAGACAGGGTAATTAGTCTATTGGGTTGCGCGGCCCCAGCAGCTCCCTGTCTGCGGACGTAAAGCTGCTGCTTGAATCGTGATAACCACACCACCGCTTTTAGCAACTTAGTCCAGTCGGAATATCTGCTGATAAGGAGCGATAATGGTGTTGCACTTGATGTCGCACAAACCTGTGCGGTGGAACGTTTCAATTCTAAGTTGGCTGGCTCAGAACTCGGACAAAACTCAGGCCACTCATCCTCGACACTCAGTAGGAATTCTGGGCCAAGAAACCAGCGCTTCAAGGATGTTACGGATGTAGTGCCTCTAGACAGCAGGTCTGCCGGATTGCATTCTGATTTGATATGCTTCCACTGACTGGGCTCAGTTAATTCCTGTATGACCGACAGTCGGTTGGCAATAAAGGTGCTGAATCTTTTAGATGAGTCATTTATGTAGTACAAAACCGTCGTAGAGTCAGTCCAAAACACAACTTTATCGAAACTCATGTGAGCTCCTTCAGTTAAATCTTCATATAACCTTGTCCCCAACATGGCTGCCGATAGCTCCAGTCGCGGTATCGACACTGATTTCAGAGGGGCTACTCTCGACTTCGCGTATAACAGAGAGCAATATGATGTGTCTTCAGCATGAAACCTAGCATAAGCAACTGCGCCAAACCCAACTTCGGAAGCATAGCAAAATATGTGTAGTTGCGGCCGCTCGTTTGTCTCTCCAGGCTTACGAATGTACCGAGGAATCTTTAGGATGTCTATCGCCTTCACCTCACGTAGCCAGGAAGTCCAAATGTCACGGCCATCACCAGTGACTGGGTCATCCCAATGTAGTTTCTCTCGACATAGTCTTTGTAACAATAACTTTGCGGGCATAATTAAGGGTGCGATCAGACCCAAAGGGTCATAGACAGAAGACACAGCAGACAATATGCCCCTTCTCCTAATTGGCCTCTCGGGTATGGTGAACTGATAAAGAAAATTGTCCTCACGGGAGTCCCAGGCAATTCCCAAAGTTCTCTTAACCACCCCAGGGACTTCAGCTATCGGTTTGATCGGCTCAGCTATCTCAGCTTGCGGAACCGCACGATACACCTCTTCATGACTGCAGACCCATTTGCACAGCTTAAATCCACCCCTACTTAACATCTCTCTGAACCGTGCCACAAATTGCATTGCTTCCTTCACGTTCGGTAGCGATATCAAGAGGTCGTCAACGTAGAAGTTATTGTGAACAGCTTCCGCCACGATTTCACCGTAATGAGGTCTCCAATCATCAGCTGTTCGACACAAGGCGAAATTGGCACAAAACGGTGACGAGGTGGCACCGAATGGATGCGCCGTCATTTGATATTCAACCACTTCTGAACCAATCGAGTCATCCTTCCACCAAAGAAACCGTAACGCCCCCCTGTCGCGTAGAGGCACCTTCACCTGCATAAACATGTCTTCGATGTCAGCAGAAACTGCCACTCGTTCAATTCTGAAACGCATAAGAATACCAATTAGGTTAGCCGTAGTATCTGGACCTTGAAAGAGTTGGTCATTCAGAGAAAGACCCTTGTACTTTGCTGCACAATCAAACACCACTCTGAGTTTGTCAGGTTTCTTCGGATTAATCACTGCGTGATGCGGTAAATACCACCTTGGTTTGTAGTCTGGTCGCAGCTGATCGCACGGTACAGGAACTGCGTAGCCTTTCTCCGCATTCTTCCTTAAAACCGAGATATACCGTTCTCGTAATGATGGATCACTTGACAACCGTTTACTCAAATGGTCTAACCTACACCGAGCTGCTTCGTAATTGTTAGGAACATTGGCATTGTGATTTCTCCACGGCAGGGCTATTTCGTAATGACCATCAACGAGTCGTACGGAACTTTCGACAATACACAGGGCTGTTTTATCCTCCCCGGATAATGACCGACTACTCGAACCAATACGTTCAAATCCGCTATCAAACAAGACTTTGAGTTGCCCTTCAAGCGGAATATCATCAAAATGCACAGAATTCACGGAGGCACACTGCCGGGTACTCCGACCAACGGGACCAAGTAGGGTCCAACCGAGTAGGGTTTTTACAGCGAATGGGCGTTTTCGTCCCGCGTCTCGTCGTTCAAACTGCCAGTGAGCTTCTGGAACGTCGGCCCCCAGTAGTATCCTGACCCTGGGGTCACTCAAATCATCGAATTTGACGTCCATCAAATGTGGCCACTTCTCAGCTAATTGACTGACAGGAGCTGTCACGGGTTGTAATGGCAGGTGACTCAAGCAATATGCATGATCTACAAGCACACTATCGGAACCGTTCAGAGAAAACAATTGAAACCTAGCCAGCCCCACGTTTAATGAGGTACATGCATTTACCGTTTGCATTTTCAAAGAAGCAGGTTCGATCTCTACTCCAGCTTCCCGCAGGATATCTTTCTGTACCAAGCTTATATCGGAACCGCTATCGATCAAAGCATAGGTCTCGATAGATCGCAAGGGGCCTACCAAACGCACGGGTACCACTCCGCGCAAGACCTTACCGGGAGTGCTGCCAGTATTGTGACAGTGGCTCAAATTTTCCTCGGGCGTCTTCGGTATTGACTCGTTATGTAACAGTGAGTGATGTCGCTTCTTGCATGCGGCCAAGCTGCAACCCTTGCTGACTCGGCAGCTGGCGGCACGATGACCAATCTCTAAACAATTATAACAGCCGCCCTTGTCTCGAACCAGATCCCAGCGCCTAGATACATCCAGGCCTGCAAACATAGCGCATGATGATGTACTGTGATGGTCACCGCAAGCCAGACACACTGATTCCTTTGGGATATCTAATGTAGTATATAGGGCGAAGTTACGACCGCTTCCCTTATCTTGCAATACTCGTCGCTGCCGAGCCTCATTCAGCTGTCGTGGTGCGACTGGTGTTGCTATCTGCCCGAACCTACTACGGGCAATACGAGCTTCCGTGGCAACGAAATCGGCCAAGTCCTTAAAAACAACGTCCCGCCCGTCTTGAACAATTGAATCGGCTGTGCTTGCCCATCTGGTTTGCAGTGCATTTGGGAGAACACGGACTATTCGCTCAATAGTAGCCACGGAGTCTAAATCGGCAGTAAAGTTCATCTGAGACAAGGCCACATAACAATTGTCTAGTTTTATGGAGAGACGCGACAAAGCGTCATGATCCCCATCAAGCGGTCTCAACCCAGTAAGCAGACCTTCGATTAGTGATCGGGCAACAACGTGACACTGGCCAAACAGTTCACGGAGTATGGATCTAGCCTTGTGATACGCCTGTTCAGGAGGCAGCATTACACACTCGCTTATAGCCTCTTTTGCACGACCTTTGCAGTAATAAATTAAATAGAGCAACCCCTGCCCACCGTCACTCACCCGGGTCTCGACAAAGTATTCGAACTGCTTAATGAACCTCCAGTAAGCTGTCGGATTACCATCAAAAAATTCCAACTCAACCTTAGGCAAATCTAATGACGTACGACAAGCTACCGGTAACGGTTGGTGATATGAAATGGGCGTAATTATCGGTGGCACAGTCTCTTGACAATCATTCAAAAACTCATTCATGCGATCCACTCCGACATCAGGTACGTAATTGGAAACAGTTAGGTGATCAGGGCAATCAACATTCTCTTCCATTTCTAGTCGTAACCTAGCCATCTCTAACTCTGTCTCAGCTTGCTGTCTCTTAAGTTCTGCTAGCCGTAAAGCTACACGCGCATTACTCTTACGACTATTGTGCGAACCAGAGCAAGAAACAGTGTCACCAACGGGGGACAAATTTTGAACTTGCCGGGATTCTTTCATGTCTTCATTGGCATCGACGGAGGGCTTCTTATTCTTAGGCATTGTGCGATCCGAGAGAGAAGTTGTCCAAGGCGAAGAGAAGTTGCAAATTCAGGGACCGTTAAGCACTGTAACGCTCCAAGGCGTTTAGAAAGTTAAGCTACGCGTTCCCCACCGAAAAATTCAACAAAAGACCAGATCCGGACCTGAGAAAACGGTGCTATTTGTACAAATTCATCGTACCAAAGTAGAAATTACCTTAACGGTTTTCCAAACACAAAAGTTTACCAACAGATTTCAATCAGTTCCACAAAAGGTCCGTAAGCCAAGGTGCACACGAAACAAATGGACATAGAGGTGAGACCGAAGTTATGATAAGGCAATTGAGCCAATCGTAAGCGTCCGCCAACGGGAACGGGCTGAGGACAGACAGACCTGCCACACTGGATACATGGAGTTGTGGGGACACAAAATCGCTTATGTCAAGAGAACAATGACAGGTTCCATGGGGGCGGGGTGAAGTTAAGATGAGTCACCGGAGTCACTCGCTAAGAGCATCGGGGCAGAGAACAAAGGAATGGAAAGTAAGGAGTTAGCAAACATAATCGATCCAGACGGCCGAGCAATGTAGAACTGGGCATTCAACATGGGAGAGACTGGGTTGGTCAAAGTTCTTTCTACAGACAATGCCCGCGCTCTTGTTAGGACGCAGTGTGGGAATCTGCCCTTCTTGTCATAGGTTCACTGGAGTCTCTGTAGACATTATAACAGATCGTAAAAACAGCACACGCTACGATTACGTAGGGAAATCAGCACCTTGTAATCTCTGGCATAGTTACCCTTGAATGAGCAGTCAAGATCTCGACCAGCAGGCTTCACTTTCCTACCAATCACAATTCAGCTTCCTCACTTACGCTATCACGTGTTGTCAACGGATAAATGATCACCATTGTCACGTAGATGCATGTAATTTTAGTAGAAGCCGGGAGAAATTCTTGATATCACTCCGTCGCGTAGGGACAAAGTTAATTTTCCAAGCGGTGCAAATTTGGGAGCTATTCTTTGGCTAATTCCGGAGATCTCACTGATTTGCCATACTGCCATCTCTGTCCGCCATTTGGATTTGCTCTAGCTTGTGATGCCGTCTCAAGCTACTTGTGGTTCGTGTTCGAAAGTTGTGGGAAATAAGGCTCATGCACTTCGACGCTTTAGCTGTGATGTTTTGTTCCATATTTCGTGCATTGGCTTATCCGTTGACGTGTTTCGAAAATCGCTCGACATCCGACATCGGTTTTTTCAAGTTATATGTGATAAATGTCGCGGTACAAGATATCAGAATAAGCAGCGACCGCAAACAACTACGGAAAAATCTCCCTTTCAGATAGAAACAAACCGTTCACCACGTGGGATCAAACGTGCTCGTGAAAGTACCTCTGTCACCTCGCCTTCTACTGTATCTCCGCGATCTGCACCACCACCAGCGTCTTCGACCCCGGCCGAACCCCAGGTTCAATGTTTCCCACCGATGCAAGACTCAGACTCAGAAGCTACGAAATGCCGCTTCACTGATCGGTCCGTGAATTTCTCAGAGCCTGTCTGTGAACTTCTGAACACCGAGGATCCATGGACCACTCAAAAGCGCAAGAGCCCACGTAATCGAGTTCAGACGTCACCTGCTGACAAACAACTACCCAATCAGTTAAGCGCCTCTAGTTCTGCTCCCACGGGTTCATCACTGATTTCGCTGTGGCGTCATTATCTCATGGTCTTCCACGTACCGGAGTCAAAAGATGAAAACCCTCAGATACGTTATGATCACGATGTTGAGTTCCTCCAGGGGCTCATCGATAGACTCTTGGATGTGGGCGAGGACAGTATGACGATTAAACAAGTAATCCGACTTGGCCAGAAAACTAACCAGTCATGTCGACCTCTGAGGATCACCTTTGCAAATCCTAATATGCCGCAGCTCATACTGTCTCGTCTGTCAAGGCTGAAAGGCAGAAAAGTTCACATCCGCCGAGATTTGGAACCCGAGGACAGGGATCGTTTGAAGACTGCGTTCATTGAGCTCAAACGCCGTACAGAGGAAGGGGAGACTGACTTACAAGTTGTAAATTTTCGGGTGATCAAGAAGGGTGTACGAACCCGTATCAACCGGTTGCTCAACCTCCAGGCACGTCCCGCAGTACCTCCCAGGACCTCCGTGTCGCATTCGCCAACGTGTGCAGCCTAATGAACAAACGTGACGAACTGTGCCACTTCGCTGTCTCGGAGCGGCCGGACATTTTAGGACTTGCAGAGACATGGCTGAACTCCGACATCATACCCCAAGAAGTCGTGTTGTCAGGATACTCTTGTTTCCGATGTGACCGAAAATCAAAGGCTTACGATGGTGTTCTGTCGTACATAAAATCGTCACTATCTGGCAAACTTATCAGTACCTATCGGAGCGAGGATAGTTTATGCGAGCAATTGTGGTGCACAATCCGTCTCAGGCGCGCAGAACTAATTGTGGGGGTTATCTACCGGAGCCCATTAAACCGTTGCTGCGATTGGATACCACATGTACAGAAGCACATGAGCCGTCCTCAGTTCTTACTGATGGGGGATCTAAATTTACCTAAGATAATTTGGCCAGATGTTCGACTTCTTCCCGGTCATGGCAACGTTGAGGCTCAATTCGCTAAAATGACTATTGAAATTGGGGCAACGCAACATGTCATCCAACCGACGCTCGTAACTCCGTACTCGGCATCTTGTCTGGACCTAATGTTACGAGCTGCGAGCAAAAGCTAAAAGAGATCAGAGTCATCGAACCTCTGGCGAACAGTGACCACTGCTCTATTGTAGCAAGCTTAGAACTGTCGTTACCATATTACAATCAACAGAAGCCGACATTCAACTATTGGAAGACGGACTTCAACGGACTCGTCCAAGCCGCAAGTCAGACTGATTGGACACTACCACAGGATGCGTCACTTGAGGCGTGGTGGTCATTGATAAAGGGGAAGCTTAACTCGCTCTGTACTCGGTTCGTTCCCCTTAAGTATCCAAAAATCGGACCTGTCAAACCGCATTGGTTTGATAGGGAATACAGACAGTTAGCGCGACGACGTCGTAAACTTTGGGATAGATACATCAGCTCGGGTTGTGATGAAAATTACGCGGTGTACAGGAAACAGCGTAACTTATGTAACGCCGCAAAAATCAAGAAACGCCGGCAGTTCGAAGAGGAGCTAGCATCCTCGGCCACAACTGCACCCAAGCGAATATTTGCCTACTTGAAACGTCAACTGAAACCTGGAGACGACCTGCCGGTCTTAGAGAGCTTAGACGGGAAGGCACTCATTTCAAGCGCGGAGCGCGCGGACTCCTTGGCTACGCACTTCCTCACTGTATTTTCCAGTAAACCGGCGGCGGTTTCAGTACCGGTACAGGTTGCGCCAGTCTTGCTCAACAGCCTACAATGTGATGCAGTCGAAGTACATCAGCTACTCGTCAACCTCAATGGTGCAAAGCCCCCTGGGCCAGACGGACTTCACCCATTAATACTCAAGTCCCTATCGATTATCATCTCACCAGCTGTGACAAACCTTTTCAATAGATCGCTCTCTGAAGGATCCGTCCCGAACGACTGGAAATGCTCGATAGTTAAACCGCTTCCCAAGGGTGGTGATCCGAGTAAAGTAGAGAACTATAGACCGATCTGTTTGACTTCGGTATTATCCAAAGTTCTCGAGAAGGTTGTGAAAAAGTGTCTGCTGTCGTTCTTCGAATCGATGGACATATTGACGCCAGCGCAACACGGCTTTACGAAAGGGCGATCCTGCATCACCAACTTGATGTACGCAAACCACCAGTGGGTTCGAGCTCTCAATGAACAGAAGGATGTTGACGTGGTGTACATCGACTTTAGTAAGGCGTTTGACAGAGTGAACCACGAGGTACTCCTTCGTAAACTGAGGACATACGGAATCGGTGGCACGTTACTTCAGTGCATACAAGAGTTTATTGTGGGCCGAAGGTTTAGAGTACAGGTCAATGACTATCTGACAGACTGGTTCCCATCGACCAGTGGCGTGCCTCAAGGAACTGTACTTGGGCCAGCATTATTTCTTATTCATATCAACGATCTTCCGCAGCAGCTCCAGTCACCATGTGTCCTGTTTGCAGATGATTTGAAAATCTGGAGGATCATTGAAAACCAGGACGACTGCGCTCGCCTCCAGCATGACTTAGAGCGACTGTCAACGTGGTCCACTGAAATGCAACTCCCTCTTAACGCAAGCAAGTCGGAGTTCATCAGTATCACCAGACGTCCAGCCACTCGATCATACACCTTGGACGGCCAGTTGCTCCATCCCAACACATCTGTCAGAGACTTAGGAGTTCTCTCACGACATGATTTAAGATCACTAGAAAATACAGAGAAATTGTATCGTGCGGGACTTCGTATGCTCTGGGCATTACGACGCAGTTTCTCCACATGGTCCGAAGAAATCGTCCCTCGTCTATTCACCTCGCTCATTAGACCAATCCTTGAATACGGTGCCCCAGCTTACCATCCGATAACCCAATGGGAAACTGAAAAACTGGAGAAAATACAGCATATCGCAACTAGAATGATACCAAGTCTACGAAAGCTTCCATAAGAAAAACGCTGTGAAAAACTCGGACTCTACACACTATCCTATCGCCGAGTAAGAATTGATCTTATTATGACCCATCGAGTACTACACTTGAATCACTTCCCCATACTGCGGCCAATATTTCACCTGCGAGGACCCTGTAACACCCGAGGACATCGTTACAAACTCAGGGTCCCCAGCATGAACAAAGTATCACATCAGCTTTGTATCGAACGAAGAATCGTAAACTTATGCAATACACTACCAGAAGGATTAATAGAGGCCGATTCTATGAAGTGTTTTAAAACCCGTATCGACGATTATTTTGGAAACCTGTGCTTTTGTGAAACGATGCACATACAGTGCCAAAAGAAGACATTGTATGTCCGGAAATAATGACGCTAGTACAAATTTCTAACCGAACACGGATAAACGATCAACGGATCAGACACAACTGCTGATAATTCACAAGTAAATTTTGATTTTTCGTAATTCGATAGAGTTGTACAGAAACCTTTCTACTTGCTCTTAAATACAGTCTCAGTCTCAGTCTCACCGTACCGCGGTTACTGCTGCCCGATCCACTCCTTCAGGGAACGTAATTCACTGCTTTCGTATATTTCAGTCATGTAACTAGCTGCCACTAACATGAACTATTTTTATGTCACTCTACCGGGCGTTGACTGTGGGCTAGATGCTGTAGCTGCTTTCGCCATTTCGATGCTAATCACGTGTAAAAGACACACCAGCCAACATGGATTGTTACCTACTTCAACATGAAAGCTGATTCATCTTTTTTATTATTCTTCCTAAGACATTTAAACTGAGGTCCGGGGGACACAATGTACATACAGTATCTCCACAAACGGGTGACAGCACGATTTGCTCATATCGATTTGGCGCAGTTGCTGGGTTGATCGATTCTCTGCTTATTTTCTGTACATGCAAGTTGTTGGAGGAGACAGTGGAAGAAATCGGAAGTCGATGTACGGAGCAGCTCTTTCTCCTTCCGTAGTCAGTTGCACACATGATACTCTTCTGCTCGGGCACATGTCTGACACTCAACGCGGCAGCACCAATGGAATTGACAGTGACACTTTTCGTGCACATCTCGAAGCAACACACGCGATCCGCGTTGACAACACAGTTGAGCACAGCTCATCTCATCGGTACGGTTGGGGTAACATTCACGGTCTCGGGTTCCGAATAGTTCCTCCACTGGACCGTATGTGTGGCAGTAATTTGGCGAATCGTCCAAATAGGTCAAATGATCTGGTGTTATGCGGCTCCCATGACGGCTGGCGCGGCGTAGTTTGGTTCCTCTACGATTGAATTTGACCTGTGTTTAAGTGAGTGAAGTGATAACGTTGTATAAACGCGCGCAAAATGCAAATGCAGCCCAAAATGGGCCTAACACTTTGGTTTACATATGCATGATTTATCCTAAGTATCTCAACCTCTGGGCCTCAAATGGATATCACGGTCTCATGGACACACCTTAAACATATACTGTCGTGTTTTGGAATGCTCATATCGGAATGACATTTCCCTTAGATACATTTGATCAACTTCGCACCCCGTCACTCACCTGTTGTGTAGATCCTCGTTATGGGGAATACCACCAGTGTGTGTCTGACGCAAATTCATTCAGGTGGCCCTCACTTGACCTCGCGTAAGACCGCCAAATTAGAAGTGATCGTCGGAAATCGCACAACGATCGGTCAGTGGCTAGCTTCTTCCGCCCTCAGAGAAGAACACAATTAGTCTGATTACTGTATAGAACTAATGCTGGTGGCCAAATCAGGGACACCTGGGACAAAAGTTCCCATTCGAAACAATTCTAGTAGACCCCATCCATTTCTACATTCTCGTAATTTGCCGTTACTGTTGATAACATCAAAGCCGTAATACAGCGATATGTATTACTGCAAACAGTTCGTTAACAATCGAGGGGACATCCTCAGCACACCGTTGGCTGTAGCTTGGTCGCGATGAAGCCTAACAGGCAAATCCAGGAATGGATTTTTCATGAGTAAGCTACAGCCAGTATGTAGTACTAGCGTTAAGAAATGGAACCTGCTGATTCGCAATGCTATACGTCCCTCATGTTGTGAAGTTATGTTTGAGGTTGGGCGAATTTTCGAGTTTCCCACATTCGTACATAAAACATTGAACGACATGTTGTCACAGAGGCTAGACATCAAAAGGTGCAATAGTTAGCTTTGCTTGGAATAACTCCACTCTTTGCTAACCAGCCTGTTTTGCACCTACGTTTTTTCAAACCTTAAAATGTGCTACTGCCAAAGCTTTCTTACGGTCGGATACACAATTTCTACTTGTGAAATATCGCTGACATCCTCTCGAATTTAGTGGTGTCACGTAAGCTGACTGTGCGCTTAGGGGAAGGGAAGGAGACAATGCGTTTCAGCAGTGCCTCTCTCCCTCTCACTCGCATTAGCCTGACCGCAGAAGTCGTCATTGTTCACCAAGTACCGTCACCGAAAATTCTGTCGGCACATTGTTCCTATTGCTTGGCCGTCAATGACGACCGCATACGGAGACATACGCCGCATACTCACAAGGCATTGTGTCCACTGCCACGGATACCAGTGCTACTGACGAACACGGGTATTTGATCGTAGGCTTACAGTTAACCAAACCCCATGTAACTGTTCAAGGAAGCGTACATACAAGTCGTTCAACTTGAGGTAGCATGTTCACTGTGACGGGGAGATGACACCGGAACAAGCGACACTGATACAACCTCAAAAATATAGCTAGATTACAACAATGTCTGCGTCACCGAAGCAATTTGTTCTCACCCCTCTCTCGCACGGTCCAACAAGCACGGACGGTAAGATGAGGACCCGCGCTTTGGGAACAGGCAAGGTTAATTACTTCTGACATTTAAGTGTGACGAAAGATGCTACTAAGCACAGCGCGACCAAGTATTCCGCGCATCGGAACAGGACGTCACGATTGAAGCGGAGCGAGGGCTGTACGAACCGATCGTCGGTCTCGTAGGATGTGACGCGTTTGTGCCAGCTGCTTAACCTGACGAAAACTTGTCTCTAGTCATCTCATCTGGCGCAGTCCATTTACAATACGCCTCGAGTTCTTTTTGGTAATTTTAATGTGTTCGTTAAAGATGAGGTCAAGTAGAGAGCCTCAAGGTGGGATGGATTTGCTTGTGCCGTTCTACTTGCATCTGTGTTATCCTGCTGTTATTCTACTTACCAGTTGACAGCTTCTTATCACCACTCCTGAAACGACTTCAAAGAATGAAACGACGGGTTACTAAGGGCGATGGTTAATCGGATCAAAGTTTAATTTCGGCGGTAGGAGCTAAGATAAAAGTACCAAGCAATTTATACATGGGAGGTTTATAGGGCGCACAGTTACCGTCAGCTATGGGGATTCTCGAGGCCGTTCTGAGGCAATGACGCCTGTAGCCAAAGTGATACAACAAATAGAGTTAAACCCAGTTCTTAGTTTAACTCAGCCTCATCAAACACATCTTCTCTGCCTTCAATCATCAGCTCAAGTTTAACTGCCGCGTTTGATCAAGGTGATGACCACAGGGAATTCAAAGGAGTAGGGGGAAACAAATCAACTCTAGTCCGGATGATTTCCCCTATCAGGTGTTCAAAAGGTATGTGCTGAACCCCTCATGTTACCCCCACATTGTGTAGGTAGTCCACGACATTTGGAGACTGGTCACCATAACTCCAGAGCTCAGAGAGAATCCCACACATATCGCCTTATTGCATACACAATTGTGCTACGGAAGTTTTTCCAGAAACTGCTTGTACCCGCGAACTTTCACAGTCACTCCTGCTGACAATATCTATCAGATCGCCTATAGATTTCAGCGTTCCACACTAAATGTCGTGGCACATCTCGTTCATGCCGCAACTTTAGCATTGGACAAAAGATTCAACTCTGTACGATTACTTTTGCTTGACTAATCAAGTGTCAAGATAGAGCACCATTGGTCACGCAGCTTTTTCAGGGTGGAGTTCATCCAAATGTGTGCTTTTTGTTGCATGACTATGTTACTGCTCCCGTATTCACTTCACCCTGTTAAGCCGTAAGGATTCCATTATTCTGCATGCCGACCGTGGTGTTCTGTTGGAGGTGATCCTGTCACATTTTCCTCGTATGCTGAACCTTACACTGTACCACCCACGTTCACTGGATGTACATATTCTGACAGTGTTGTACTAGGACGCATGCTGCCACTGTTCAAGCTTATTTTATGCCACATCATGGATTAGAAGATCTGGCAAACGGTTCTCATCTAAACCCATTAGCCTTAACGTCTCCAAATGGAATCATGCCATAATTTCTCCTGTCCGCACCGACGATTACGGTCCAGTATAATTTTATTCCCTAATCTGAGTGTGAGCGATAACAGGCCCGATTTTCTAATTTGCTTACATGCCAAACTTCCATTCTGTGAAACCTTCCACCAAGTCAAACGAGCATAATTTATGCGCTCTGAGTTAAAGTGATCTCAGCATCCCACAATTTGTGGTGTAAGTTTGTGACTTCACACATTCTCTCACTTTGGCCAAACTTCACCCGTGTCATTTTCTTGAGCGGCTTAAGAAGGAACACACCGTATTCTCACGATCACTAAAGCACATTTCTAGATACAGTGGGTTGGCTAAATACTCCACCGTAGATTTAGCTGTTTATCTGACAGATTTTAGCCCCTTTTTGCTCCATGCATACAGATTTTAATGTTGTATCCTTTCACGTTTCGTCGCATCGTAGCACCGTCTTACTTTACCGGTCACATTTACCCGTCGACGCGAAAGTAATGAGAACTCTACATGAGCAGTTATGGAAGTAACAATTGTATAAACATTTCACATACTCCTCCTTATATGTTCCCCAGTCATCATCATCATCAGCAGCATTACATCAGCCATTTGAACTGATGCTTCGCTGCCATACAACCAAGAGGATCTATGGAATAAAGAATACGATGTGGGAGAGAAGGGGACTTACCTGAAAACCTTAATGCCCGAAGCAAACATTCAGGGTCAAGGCGCCTACACCTTGTGTAGACAACATACTGTCACAAACAGCTGGCTATCGTGTAAAGATAAGGCGGCATCGGCGAGACAGCTTCCTTGCGGCTTTCACTGCCACGCGTCATAATTAGCCATTACCCCGCAGATAACTCAGCACCAAACACACTTTAAACAGACAATCCGATTAGGAGACGGCAGCAGACGCGCCACCGGTGTCGGTTGCGAGCCATGTTCTGTAAAGTCTCTAGCCAAGCACAAGGCGAGTCACGTGGACTCCAGCCCGGAAGGCGAGACGAACTAACAGCACCCAGTTTGGTCGTCAGTGACTTCATTTCCCGCTGTCAAGTCAACTTCTGTCCACCTCGAGCCTTGCGCCACCCTACACCTGGCAGACTAAACAATGCCCTCCTAAGTAAGCGGTGACCACGTATACGTAGCACGTGCCCAGGCCAACGCAACTTATTCAGTGGTAGTTGTTCTAACGAGCTAGCATGAGTATCACTACCTAGTACTCGCCTACGCACATCATCGTTGCGGACACGCTGGTGCCATCTGACACCAACAATGCTTCGCAGACAACGATGATCAAAGACTTGAAGGCGCCTCAGATCTTCAGACCGAAGGAGCCAAGTCTCACTAGCATAGAGCAGAACGGCCCTCACTGTGGCCTTGTATACCCGGCCTTTCAGACGGTGGGAAATTCCGTTCCGTCGCCAAAGATGCCGCAGATACAAGAAGGCAGCTCTGGCTTCTGCAATGCGTGAGCTGACATCAGTTTCTATGCGCCCATGGTTGCTGACACGGCTGCCAAGATAAGTGAATTGATCAACCATCTGGAGTTCCTCGTTAGCAAGGGTCAAGGGATCATAAAGTGGCTGGTGGTCCTGCAGCAACACTTTGCACCTTGAAGGTGCGAAATGCATACCAATAATGGGAGCACTCTAGACAGGCTATTCAGGGTTGATTGTGCTGCCGCAACATCGTCGAAAAGCAAGACGATATCATCCACATAATATAAATCAACTATTCTCTCACCAAGCAGCACTTTAACGCTTACATCGTGAGATTCCTCAAGGAAACACTCCATGATAGAATCCACAACGAAATGGAACAAAAATAGGGAAACCGGACAACCCTGAAGAACGCCACTTGTGGTCGCAAAGCTATCCGGTAGGACACCGTAGACCCTGACGCGGCCTGTAGTGTTTGAGTATAGGGCGCGAAGGATGTTCACATATTTTGTGGGAACACCTTTCCGCGCAAGTAATTCGAACAGAATCGATCGATCGACTGAATC